TTGAAAATTTTGATCCCAGCAAGCATATACACTTCTGGAAGCATGAGAGGTTAGCAATTAGTATATGGAGGTAGTGCTTGGATCTTGTGTTAACACTGTATGTATCTGCATTGGTCTGAAAATATTCTTCGTTATTTGTAATGAAGTTTATTAATGAAAATATATGTTCGCATGGAAGAGTTAGGATCTGCAGTCTCTTAAATAGATTTCTACAAGAATAGTGGGATTTGACACCCATCACAAGTCTAACAATTTTCTGTTGCAATGTATATACTTCATTACAGAGTGAAAGTAAGCAAAATAAATTGATTTGAGAGTGTCAGTGTTGCTGATATGCAACATAGCTCTAACTGTATAGAATGCTCCACTTAACTTGGAACCAACTGATTGATGTGGTTTCTCGACTTTCAATGGTTATCACCTTGTAAGCCAAGGAATTTTGTTTTCTGCTTCTTCTATATATATATATAACTACCAATCGGAACTTCGCCTTCCGACGAGCTGATCTTCCATCCAAGGAGTCCTACTGTCTATAAAAATGATCAACGAAACAGAAATCAGCCCTATGCTCCAAAAATGGGAGCAAGAGGAAGATAAAAATCATTATGTCCAATATTTAGTGGATATTGTGGTGAGTTTTTTGTAAATTTTATTGCATTTGTTACACCTACATTGGGGGACAGCTTGTTTGCAGAAAAGCACATGCTCATTTGAGAGAGAACTCTGTTCAATAGTATGCAGAATTCGTCAAAACATTTACTAGAAATTATGACATTAGTGTCATCAGCAAATCAGATCCAGAGGTCCGGGTTCGATTCCCGGCGCTAGCAGATTTTTTTCGGAGAAGTAGTGGGTCTGGAACGGGGTCCACTCAGCCTCGTGATGATAATTGAGGAGTTATTTCAAGGAAATAGCGGCTCCGGTCTAGAAAACCGAAATTAACAGCCGTGGGGATTCGTTGCGCTGACCACGCGACACCATCTACCCGCAAAAGTTGGCACTAAACTTCGCCGACGGTCGCTCCGTCGGTATAGTTCGCTTGCGGACTAAAATCACGTAGTCATCAGCAAATATTAAGCGTACTGATGAAGTGATTAGTGTAGGAGGGAGGTCATTTATATAAATTAGGAAAAGCAAAGACTCTAAAATTTACCCCTGGGGAAATCCATGTTTTGTTGACCACCAGTTTGAGTACGTACTTTGGCTTACATTTAATGATTATGTTTTAGTCTTTTGTTTTCCATCTTTTAGGTAGGATCTGAACAAACTTACTGTTGTTCCTTGAATGCCAAAAAATGATGCAGTTAATAAAATTTCATAATTTACACAGACAAGAGCTTCTACCAGATCACAGAATATTTCATCAACATGCATTATCTGATTAATATATTTGAATACACTGTATGTTAGCTTAAAGGCTGCATTTTCAGTGGATATGCCTTCCCTGAAGCCAAACTGTTCTGAGACTAGTATGTTATTAGTCTGGAAATAATGGCTTGACCTATTGTGCATAACTTTCTCAAGTACTTGAGAGAAAGTAGTTAACAGTGAAACTGGCCTGTAGTGTGACATACCAGTCTCGTCTCCTTCTTTGTACTGTGATCTTACTATTGAAATCTTAAGATGATCAGGGAAGATCCTTCTGAATAGAGAAATGCATAATCTTCTAAAATTGTACTTGTTATTCAATCATAACCTAATGAGCTTTTAGCTTTGAGAGAGTGTACTATACTCGTTATCTCAGTTTCAGTGGTTGGAATGGTCTTAGCACCACAGAATTTTCTAGGAAATGCGTCTTTTAAAAATGAAATTGCATCACCTCACTCCTAATGCAAGATTAGATTCTCAGTAATTGTCAGAAAATAGTATTGAAGGCATCAGCAATTACTCCTGGGTCCTTTATTTCTTCAACAATTTGTAAGAAGAGATGGCATCTCTTCGGTCAGATGCAATTTCCCTGTTTCATATTTTACTATATCCCAAGCTGTTTTTATATGATTATCTGATTTTGTTATAAACCATTAAGTTCTTTAATACCTCTGCTCAGGATTTTGCAGTACTTACTGCAATGTCCTGTCATGTGTGGATTATTACTGCTCCCCCTGAATAGGAAAAGTACCTTCAAATACATTTAGAAAAATATATAAAAAAGTTAAACTTACATTTCGTATCCTTATTTTTGAGAACATGTTCCCGTGTTTCTTTTTCTAATAGATGCTGAAATTGAGCAATGGTTTCACTGTTTATATTTCTGGTTCTCTATTTTAAGGGTATTAAATTTACTTTTGAAGTAATAGTATTTACTGTAAGGAACTGAGCATCATGGTCTGAGAGGCCGTTGACTATAGGAGATGTGCAAGAAGAGCTTAACCTTGTACTATCTTTAAAAACTTTATCAATGGCTGTACTCTGGAATTTTGAATTCTTGTTGCAAAATTCACAGTGTGTGGTAAATTGCATGTCTTTAGTATAGAGCTTACCTGTTTCTTCTGTTTATTTTGAATGAAATAGTTTATGCCCATGTCCCTGTAGATTATAAACTCAGATTTTTGTTTGCACAAATATTTTAAAGTTGCATCTAGCCTTTCTATAAATTCATTAACATATCCTGAAGAAGCTTTGTACAAGCTTAATACCAGTATAATTGGGGTATACATTTTACGTATTACTTAAACTGCACACATTACGAAGTCCCCCTCCTCCTTGCCATGATGAGGAATATCACTTTTACTGAAATGTTGTTCTGACCTAACACAAAAACACACGCTTCACTTCTGTAGGTCTTTTCGGCAAAACCCCTACCTAAAGAGTACCCATTCATTTCGAGGTCTTGCAGCTCCTGTGCAACCATGCGATGCTCACTTAAACATAATATGTGAGGGTTTATGTTGTCTATTTCAAAAGAATATATTAACTCATCATTTTTGCTGCTAGATCCTCTGATATTCTGGTAAAAGATCTTTATTGAGTTGGATGATTCTGCATATTGTTAGTGAACTTCCTAGACTGCAGGACTGCATTTAACATATGTTGAACACCTCTGTGCATTTGAATTTAAGCTAAAGAAAGGAGAAGCCCTGGGATCTCAAAACAAAAAGAGTAAAGCTTCTGTGAAGTCACAGTCAGTGAAAAGGCTCAGGGAGCAAGTTATTTAGTAGGAAAACTTAATGCCCAGAAAAAGAAAAGTCACGCAGTCGGTGAGAACCTAATAATGCCAGCATTTAAATTTATAGTGGGTAAAATGCTGGGACAAAATGCGGTATAAGAAATTGAAAATTTTCAAGTTTCAAACAGTACTGTAAACAGACGTACTGATGACATGCCACACGATGCTGCACGGGTTTTTTCTAACCAGCTTGATGAGTCAACAGATTTCGCCAATAAAATTTATGTAGTAGCATTGTAAGCTTTGTAAATGATGGTGGAATTTGAGAAAAATGTCTCCATTGCAAAGAGCTGTCCCAAATAAGCAATGGGCAAGATATATTTAACTGTGTAGGCATCTATACTGATGGTGTTCCATCAGTGGTTGGCTCCATTAGAGATTTCGCCTCTCCTGCGCCACAAAAGGGTTGGGGGGAGGGGGGAGAGAAAGAAAATTCTGACATCACAACACACTGATTTATTCACAGAGAGATGCCGGTTTAAAAACTCTTGGAGATGAAATGAAAGAAAAAGTTTTGGATAATGCTACAAGAATGGTTAATCTTATCAAACAAAGAACAGATCACTTCAGAGTGCGAAAACATGGACAAACAGCACATGAATCTCGTGCTACGTACAGAAATCTGGTGGGTTAGCAGAGGAAGATTTCACAAGAAGGTGCATTAGCTGAAAGTAGAATTGCATGTTTATTTTCAGGAAAACAGTAGGCCAGATTTTGCAAAGTGCTCTGAAGATGAAGAATGGCTGGCGAAACTAGCCTACTTAGCAGACATTTTTCATCAAATGAATCAGGTGAACAAGGCCCTGGAGAAACTGTTTTGACTTCAAATGACAAGATTTATTGATTTAAAAGGAAACTGAATCTTTGGAAAAATCATGTTACGAAAGGAAATTTTTAATAATATATAATATAATAATTCTTATGCAGGAGTTCCCTGTGACTTACAAATTATTTCAAGGTTTCCTCCTGTGCAAGGAGGTTGAGAAATGCTGGTATAGACCAATCGGTTAATGCTCTTTAGGAAAACAGTCGCAATTTATCGCGTGAATCATACAAGATGCATGAATACACTGTGTGGGCAGAGTTTCAAATATTAAAACAGATGGTTCAAATAATAATTAAAATTATGGAAAACTGAAGATCTTTGAAAATAAGAGGTAGGCCTGGATAATGCCTCAAGTAACATGAGGCACTTGAAAGAAATATGTAGACTGAAGTGATTTGTGCACTGAAGGGGCATGTGGATTGAAGTGATACGTGAAGAGACATGTGGAATGATATGATACATGGATTGAAGAGAGATATGGGTTGAAGTTATGAGTGATGAGATGTGTGAATTGACGTTGTATGTGCACTTAAATGATATATAGAATGAAGAGGTATGTGGACTGTAATGATATGTGAAGATATATCTGGAACGAAGACATAAGCCGATTTAAGTGATTATGTGAGTCGAAGAATAAGTTGACTGAAGAGATATATCAATTGACGTTTTGAACAAATGCAAAGGACACTATGATGTTAATGACTCCTTGAGAAGGTAAACGCAGCTCATTTGGTTACGGAAGCCTAAGGACCATTACCATTTTGATAAGCTCCCGCAGTTGGCCCTTGCCTGAATTAGATAATCGAGCCTAAACCCTCCAACTCTATTTCCTCAAGAGCCTTTATAATATTATATTCCCATCTATGCCTGGGTCTTTCAATTAGTATGTTCCTTTCAGGAGGTTTTCCGACTTGCCCATGCATTTTTCATCCTTCTGTGCTAATGTGGTATGGCGAATGTCATTATGTTACAGAGCTGCACAGAACGGAAGTGCATTTCAGGACTTACCAAGGATCACAGTTCCTACGAAGAGGCTCAGCGTTACGCTTGTGAATGTTGTGAATCTCTGAAACAGAGAAATGAATAACACAATAAAAAATAAAATCTAAATTTTGTGACGATAGTACATTAGTACAAATACGAGTGTTATGTTTCTGGACATTATACATAGTCATGTTCTTATCTAAAACACCGTCCTGTTTATATTGCAAAACACAAAGTTTCGGAGACTGGATTCTGTCTCCGTCCTCATGCAAAACCTATTCGGTTTAGCCCAATCGATAGAGCTAATTCCTGTCTCCGGTTTTACCTGAGGACGGAGACAAAATATAGTCTTCGAAATGGTGTGTTCTGTAATATAAAGAGGCCGTTTTAGATAAAGATAAGACGATGGATAATACCCAGCAACATAATATTTATATTAATAGAAACTACTTAAAACTGCAGGATGATCCATCTAAAACCGACGTCATACACTGTATTTCGTACCTAAATGAACGGACCATACAAATGAGTGTCCGCAAAATATTCTGCATGAGTCCTCCGTTGTCCTGAATAGATGTACCAACCCCAACAGCATCTTCAGATATATGTTCCTTGGATTGTGTTGGCAGACTTACACGCATTCTTCGAGACAGGCCGACAGTAACGGAATGTTAATCACAAAAATGCCTCGAATGTATACTAAGGTATAAATTAAAATTTCCACTGTGATATTGTTTTAAATGGAAGACTGTTTTACAGAACTCAGTGCAACACAGCAGAACATATACTGAATTGCATATCGCTACATCTCGTGAGCTTATGCGCTCTATGATGGGCCAACTTGAAGAAAGAAGGGCCGAATATTCCGCCTCAGTACTCACTGGAAAGAAAGGAACTCAGTGTCCAATTTAAGAGTAAGGACACATTTCAACTCATCTTCGGACGATTCCCAACAATCCTCACCAGCGTTTGACTTAATTCATTACGAATGGACAGAATCCAAGATTTGCATTCGGTACGTCCCGTGTACAAAATCTCGACCAAGGCATAGGTTACCTTGATAAGGCTGTTCGTGGATCTTCCTTCAGTCCCTAAAGACAAGCACCTGGATAGTACCTCGGTATCCACAGGTAAGTGCCTCGAGAATACCTCAGTCACCACAGGTCTCAAGGCCGCCGGATTTGAGAGGTCCGGCCTGTAGTTACGCAGACTTCATCATTTCGATGCATTTCCACTTGTTTTCGCAATCTTCTCTCTCTCCCACAACATGTTCTCACCTCAATGTGACCTTGCAGAAATGGGATGCGAGGATGTGGACTGCATTCATTTGGCTCGCTATAGGATCCAGTAGAAAGCAGCTAAAATCTCCCCCCCACCCAAAAAAAAGAAAAACTTTGGGTTCCATACAAGGCGAGTAATTTGCTGGCTAGCCGAGAGACTTTCGGCTTCTCAAGGATGTCTCCCGTGGAATCAGTAAGTTTAACATCACATTCTTGAAGAATCCTGCAAACCCCGAGATCCTGCCTCGTGTCCGTCTATTTTTCTTAGCCCTATGTCTCAATGGCATGTGTCGCCACACAACCTTGAAGAAGTTCACTTAGTTTCAGAGGAACGTACTGCCTCCATCATCAGAATAGAAGACTAAGCCAACCACGTAACCAGCAAGAAACAGGCGGCAATCAGAGCTGTTCTTGCCTCTTTCATACCTGGCTTACTCATAGGCCCTATGAACAGAGGCATTACGTTTCTCCGAAACGTCGGTAAACTTAAGAAGACTACATGGCGCCACACCCCGCAAACAGTAATCTTTATTCTATAACACATTCGACGTTTTTGTACAAAACATGTAAGCCACGTTTGTTGAATGCAAAACTAGGAATTGTGGCGTTACGAAACGGCATAACATGTAAGGCAGGAACCGCAGCTTGTGCTCCAGTTCTACTACATCTATCCAGTTATCTCAGCGACAGATTCTGGATATGAACTCAACACCGAAGTCTGGGAAGTCTATGCTCCTCTGAGACTTGACCGATTTTTATTTTTAAGAGAAATACGTATATTTTGGGTTGGGACGGTTGGGACGCTGTCCCATAAGAAAGCAGTCTTCATACCCACTGTCATAACCTCAAATAGACAGTACAGTTGCACACTTCCAAACGAACCAGAGTTTGGTACGAGTACTTTCAGTGTTTTAGCACCAAATTCTGAAAGTATGGAAAAAATATTTATCACTTTTTCGAATGTTCGCAATTAAAATTTGGAAAAAGTTGGCGTATTATCATCTGCAAGTGTTCAGCCTGTCGGTCCGTAACAACTAGATAAAGGATGGACGAATTTTCATGAAAATTTCACAGTGAGGGGCTTTACCAAGATGAGTTAACATGTTCTGTTTTCGGTTACAATCTGGCGACAATAGTGAACATTTTGCGCGAATCTGGAACTTAAGTCGCTGAACATTTATCGGGGCGAAAAGTGTTTGGAACAAAAGTTATAGAGCAAAACGAGACACATAGATTTTATATCCGATATATAGGATCTAAGGCTCTCACAGACCGATTACAGTGGCCGCTCTAACACTGGGACCGTGGGTTCCGATCCCACTCGAGGCATGGATGTCAGTGTAAGTTTATTCTGTGTGTAGGTAGCGGTCTTGAGACAGGCTGATCCCCCGTCCAAGGAGTTCTACCGACTGTGTACAGATTAAGAAGCTGAAAAAGCGGCCAGGATCCACAAGAGCTGTAGAGCTATAGACAGACAGAGATTCTCACAGCGATATTATGAAGAATTCTGTCCCTGGGATATAACGCTGTACCACTGAAAGTCTCCTCACGTTTCAAAGGAATGTGTCACCTTCATCTTCAGACTTTACGCTACCTGTTCCATGCTGGCTCCTTGCTTGGCTCATCATCGATCCTAAAGATGGAGGCGGCACTTTCCTCCGAAACCTTGGTTGACTTTCGACGGATTACATAGCGTTACATCGCAGAAGACCAAAATTGTTATATCTGACACATTTTTCCGAATGTGTTATTGTTGTCAAAGCAAACAAGAATGACTTTGTCGTAACCAGGAAAGTCTCGACGCAAGAATCGAGGAACTTGCGTGAAAGTTTACGCTACGCTCGAAGTTTCCTGACTTGCTTAGCTTTACAACCGCCGAACGTAAGAAATGTCGGCCTACACAAAATAAATATGAAAGAATATAATATATCTTGGCATTTTACATAAACTGCATACTCACAAATATTTGGGATTTTTTTTCAGTACACCTGAGGTTGATCTGGGATTTTTATTTATAATATATATATCTCAGTTAGCCGCAAAATGAGAGTATTCTAAGAGTCTAAATTGCAGATTCAGCGCACCAGGAACCACGAATGGCACTTATAGGGTTAATTTGCCATTATTAACACAAACCATTAAACTTACAGTAGCTGCGTAGTCTAAGGCATGAACTGTCTTCGCTCGCTCGAACGCTGGGATCGTGGGTTCGAATCCCAATCATGGCATGGATGTTTGATGTGTGTATGCGTTTATTCTGTGTTTTTGTTGTCCCGTCCAAGGAGTCCTACCGTCTGTGAAAAACAAATGATTACAGAACCAAATAAGAGGCCGGGCCCTGAATGGGCTGGAGAGCGACTCAAAAAAGAAATAAACTTACAGTATTGACATTTACATTTCTTGCACTGACTGGTGCAATTGCTAGCCTGTGCTAATAGAGGAAGCACAGAGCCTGGATCCCTGCCTCAGTCTACCGGGCGCGGTGTTTTGAGAGAAGTGCGCGGGCGACTGGCAGTCACGAGAAATTACATAAACTCTCCTGCTGTAACTGGTGGTGTTCTCAAGATGGGACCATTGCAGCACAGGGTGTTCCTCAAGCAGCTCAACTCTTCATTCGGAATGAGAGAATCGAGAATTTCTCTATTTCAACAGTGGACTGCTAATAATACTGCAGTGTTTGTTTTGTGTGGGTGTGAAACTTTGTCTCTGCCCCTGAGAACAGAATACACATTGGCAGTACTTGAAGTTGGTTACGATCTGAAATTTACGAAGTAATAATTTGGTACCGCGAAACCACTTACCAATTATGTGTGGCGTAATCATCTTCTGCCGATCACAGTGGCCGCGCTGTCTGAGGCATGAACTGCTTTCGCCCCTTCGAACACTGGGGTCGTGGGTTCGAAGCATGGATGTTTGCTACGTTTACTGTGTTTGTGTTCTTCTGTGTAGGTAGCGGCTTTGCGACAGGCCGATCAATGAGTCCTACCGACTGTCTATATGATTACGAAACTGAAGTGAAACGAAGCATTTCACAGATATCATATGCTCCAGAGAAAAAGCAAGAGGAATAGTAATTAATTAATCGATTATTTTCTACGTTATGTTTTTATTTATTATTGCTAGTGGGGTGGGACCAAGTCCCTTGTACTACGGGCACTTCTGGCCTATTGTACCAGCCCCAGATGATAGGTGAGGGTGATTGTGGAGCAATGGGTGGAATGAAGATTGGCAGGGGAAACCGAAGTACTCGGAGAAAACCTGCCTCAGCGCCACTTTGTCCACCACAAATCCCACTTGACCAGACCCGGGATCGAACCCGGGCCGCCGCGGTGGGAAGCCAGCGACTAACCGCTTGAGCTATGGCGCGGCCATTTTCTACGTTACTCTGTGGTGATCTAGCAAATAGTAACACCTAAAATGGCACTGTTCATTATCTGATTTCCTACTTAAAGTGTAAGGGCACGCGGTAGCGTAGTTGGTTGTGGGACTATACTATAATCCTGAAGGTCGCGGATTCGAGTCACGATGACGTGGATTTTTTAATTTGCCTAAATCTTCCAGCCGCACTACGGCCCTGGGGTTGACTCAGCCCCTAACAGCAATGAGTACCAGGAATATTCCTGGGGGGGTAAAAGGCGGCCGGTGCGTAAAGCTGACAACCTTACCGACATCTGTGAGACGATTGTCTAGAAAACGTGGGAGCCTCGATGTCTCACAACCCTATGGGCCTTCCTGTTACAGGGATAGCTTTACCTTTTACCCTTTTTTTTTACCTACTCAAAGTGTCAAGCTGTGAGATCAT